TACTAAAGGCCCGGGCATGAATGTGTGCACCAGTGGGGTCCCTCGACCTGGCCTGCAGGATCAGGCTGAAATGGGCTCTCCGACCCCCCCCCCCCCAAAAAAAAAAGGTCCCGGATTGTGAGAGGGCACAGGCCAGGCCAAGGGATCCCACCAGTGCATGATCAGGGCCAAGGAGAAACATGAGAGGTTGGCCAGCCAGGGAGGGACTGCGGGAGGGCTCTGGCCTGTCTCGCTCAGTCCCAATAAACCAGATCCCAGCAGCAAGCGAACCTACTGGTTGGAGTGTCTGCCCCCTGGGGGTCAGTGCAGGTCATAGTGACTGGTTGAACAGTCAACTGTCTGCCCTGGTGGCTGGTGCATGTCAGACCAACTGGTCGACAGGTTGACTGTCTGCCCCCTGGTGGTCAGTGCACGTCATAGCGAGTGGTTAAGTGGCCTTAGCATATCATTAGCATATTGCACTTTGATTTGCTGAATGGCTGACCAGTCAACCAGACCCTTAGCATATTATGCTTTTATTATACAGGATGTCTTTTTTTTTCCCATCCAATACTCAGTTTCTGAAATAAGGGCTTAGGGAACTACTGAGGTTGAACTGAGTCTTGTATAACAAACATCTTCAGCAAGTATTTTCGGGTTCTTCAAGATCATAAAGTATTACTATTAAAGAGTGTCTTGGTTTTTTAGGTTCAGTTTTAAGAACTTCTGAAGAACATTAGCATTCTATTCTCATTTTACAGCCAAAATGTTGTAATGTTGTAACTATTTTATTTTGATTCATTTTATTTTCCTAAAATGGAAGCTAAAAGAGTAACTTTCTCATCTTTCACCATTTCTATACTCTCAATGTCATCATAAAAATACTGAATCTTCTTTCTCTTGAGAAAGTGGGCCTTCTATAGTCCCATAGGTAACTTGTTTCCTTTTCAGAATGATATAATAGTGTTTATTTCAAGCACAGATTTTTTACATAAAAATTATCCTATCATTTGAAAGAAGAAATGACTAGATAGCAACATATGATTATCCTTAGTTTGTGCATTGTTCCAATTTTTTTGTAGTTTTCAAAACAAACATAAAAGATATTTTTTTGGGGGGGCCTGGCTGGTGTGCCTCATGGACTGAGTGTTGACCTATGAACTAAGAGGTCACAGTTCAATTCCCAGTCAGAATACATACCCAGTTTGCAGGCTGATCCCCAGTGGGGGAGGCAGCAGATCAATGATTCTTTTTCATCATTGATGTTTCTATCTCTCTCTCTCCCTCTCCCTTCCTTTTTGAAATCAATAATTTTTTTTTTAAGAGAAACTGTAGTAGAAAAATAAGTGCTGCCCATTGCACTAAGTTTTATATCTACTAGTATGACAGGCATTACTGCCACTTATCAATGAGAAAACGGGCCCAAAGTCAATACAAATAGGTCAACAAACCAAGTTACTTGAGTTTGGCAATATTTTCAATGATGAGATAAAAATAAAATAATAAAGAGATAATTAAAAATCCACCAAATCTTCTGTGAATTTTTTCAGTCATGAAAACACTTCATTATTTAGCTATATTGAGGAACAATAAGGGTAAATAATTCAATCCTCAAAGAAACCTAACTGTCCCTTAAGAAATAAATGAAATCAATGAAAATTTACAATATTCTATATCATTAGAGGTTAGGTGATACTTTGGCCATGATGACCTTCCCTTGCTGTACTCCCTCCCATTCCCCAATGGTTATATCAGATTTTTATTTTCAAATAATTAGGAAAACAAATTTTCATTTTTGTAAAGTAGACCCAATCATTCCACTAACATGTGTAATGTTAACAATAAGCTATTCCTTATGGGAGCTTAAAAAAAAAAAAAGAAGTGAAATATGAAGACTTTTAGAGGGCTTGGAGTTCCCAGAAAGGCACTGGGCCCATGTCTGTTCAGACAGGGAACAAGAGATTCAAAAGGGTTTGTTGCAGTTTTGAACAACCAAAGGAATAAAAAAAAATGTCACTGAAAAGAGATATAAAAAGGGAAAGGTTTATACTAAGCTTAAAGAATTCAGACTACACATCAATTGGAAAGAACACCCTGCCTAAAGAAAGACACAGCAAGAGAGAGCAGAGGCTTTTAAAGAAAGGCAAACACGACGCCTTTGTGAATAGCTTAGAAGTAGATAGAGATTCACCCACGCACAAGATGATGCCCTTTCCTACGGGAAGAGTCCCAATGCTTTAGCATATTTATGACTTCTTTTGCTTCTATGCTTAGAAAGTCCTTCATCTACCCCAACATCAGATAAATATCAACTATGTTTTAGAATATGAATTTTTTATATTTAATTCTCTAACACAGCTGGAATTTATCCTGCTGAATGGTGGGAGAAAGATATTTTTTTTTCCAAAAGTTTTTTCAATCATCTGCACACCCCCTACTAGTGACTAACAATATGCTTATAAATATCTTATGCATTTAGTTATAACCAGGGAATACGTAGGCATTTCTCTAAATTTCCACCTTTTAAGAAGTACCTAATGCCACTTTTGCCAACAATCTTAACATATAACAGTAGTCCTTACATTTGGAAGGGATTCAATATCTGTATCTTGGCCCATTTGCATCTTTAAAAGCTCCAGTCATAAGTAAGACTTGAGCCCTGAGAACAGAGAGCATCACCAGCAAAAACTTTGGACTGACATAGACAAGAGCCCTCTGTTTGATCAAGCACACTATCTAGGCACTCTCTGAAGAAAAAAGAAAAATGAGAGCCAAAGAATAGAAAACTATCTTTATGGATACTTCTAGGTTAAAAACACAGGAGGAGATCTCAGCCTTTGAGTAAGATGATCCAGTGTACAATCAGTCTATTGAATTTCAATGGCATTTTATAAACTTAACATTTAGAAAGAAGGGAACAGCAAAGAGCTACTATCTCAGTCTTCCAGCCTACTAGCAAATAAACCAGGAGTCTTGGGCTCAACTGCCTACGGAACAGATAAAGGGAATAAATGAGCAAAGGGGATCAAGTGAACTGAGCTTTAGAGTCTGAAAAGCAATGGGGAGCATTGGAGACTTGGCAAACTAGAATTCATGTCCCTGAAACACTTGCTCCTTCTAGTGGAGACACTACAGAGCTGCTGCAGTTTATGCCACTCAAAATTCAAGTGCAGAATTGCCAGATCCTCCAATTTTCCTAAAGAATCCAATATTATAAATTCTTACATAAATTTCTTGTTTCTTGGAATTTGGCAACTAATTAAATTTATTTTTAAAACATACAAGCCACATGTATGTATGAGCCACATTGGCCCACAGGACACTACTGTGGGATTTCAGATTACACATGCAACCTATGAATCACCCAGTTTTCAAAAGTACTCTACCTTGCTCCTATGCCCTATGTGCTTCCTTCCTATTGCTGCCTTTCCCTCGATATGCCAAATTATTGCAAGCTTCACAGAATCTAGGATGTGTGTGGAGTGTGAGTTAAGGATGCTATACTACCTCATTCACCCAATTCAAGGTTCTGCTGAACTCTGATCTTAATACAAGGAACTGCCATTTAGGAAATAAAAATTAATTATGGATAGTTATGTTAAGTCAGACCACTGAGCCAAATTAAATCATTTTTTTAATTATAAATAAAGAATAAGTCTTACATCTCTGAAAAGTCCTTTTTTTTATTTTAAAAACTCTTAGATGTCTTGTTTCATATATCAAAAATGATTAACTACTCTCAGAGTCACAGCTTTGGCATTAGCTAGCATTATTTCATGCTAGATATCAAAGAATAGACCTCAAAAGAAATTCATTAACAAAACTGAAAATCATTTCCATTGAAAATGTAGGATTTTTAGCTTCTACACAAAATTGACTACCTACGTTAAAATATGTTTACCTAATGGCATCCTATTCCAATCAATGTAAGTCAAAAGATTTAAGGAATGAGTTAACCCTCCTGGAATTCAACCTACACATCTAGTTTGTATAATAGATACACAGTTTCTAGATATCTTTTTCCACAGGCTGTAACAGGATTTCTATCCTATATAATAAAAGGCTAATATGCAAATTTTTCCCTCAGGAGTTCGACCAACTGGTAGTTTGGCTGACCGGAAGTTCAACAGCTCGCTATGAAGTGTGCTGACTACCAAGGGGCAGCATGGAATGAAGGAGGGTTAGGGTTAGGGTTAGGGTTAGGGTTAGGGTTAGGGTTAGGGTTAGGGTTGTTGTTATTTTTTAAAATACATTTTTATTGATTTCAGAGAAGAAGGAAAAGGGAGGAAGGAAGGAAGGGAAAAAGGGAGGGAGGAAGGAAGGGAAAAAGGGAGGGAGGGAGGGAGAGAGAGACATCAATGATGAGAGAGAATCACTGATTGGCTGCCTTCTGCACACCCCCTACTAGGGATGGACCCTACAACCCCAGCCTGTACCCTTGACCAGAATCAAACTGGGACCATTCAGTCCACAGGCCGATGCTCTAGCCACTAAGCCTAACTGGCTAGGGCTTGCCATGTTTTCTTGACAGTGTAAATTCTGAAGTACGGATCTACGTGAAGAATAGCAACAAGTTTTACAAAATGATGAAGTTACTATATTTTGCATGCCACAAATGACCAATAGCTCTATAAAATCTAATTCTTCCATAAAAATAAATTAGATTTCTAAATGAAAATACACCTTCCATACCTATTTATGACATCACATCCAGAGTAGCAGATTTACTCATGAACAGTAAATGTCCAATTTACATTCTTCTCTAGCATACTTTTTTATACAAAAATGACATACAACATATTATTCTTTCTTAAGAAATAATTAGCTGTCCTTGCTTTGATTTTCATAATAGAGCTTAACCATTTTCATTTCCCCCTTTAAGGGCAGGACACCAACTAGGCAAGAACTTTTTAGTTTTTTTTCAAAAACACTATGGAAGTTTGGCTAACAGTCTTATGAAATGAAAATGAAATGATTCAATATTAGTAATGCAGATAAAGGCTCATTATATTCCAACTTACCTAAAACACTGACAAAGGCATCAAAAAGATGAAATGTAAGCAGAGGCTCTTTCAAGTGACCATAGTAATCTGCTATGGTCTTAAAGACATCTTTCTCAAATCCTACGTACATAGGCTGTTTCAAATCTGAACAATTAGGCCCTATTGAAAGAGAATGAGATAGAAAGAGAAACATTAACAGGGCACCCACTGAGTACTAACCTCTGTGTATATGTATATTCTGTACAGATATTCAAGATCAGAAAAGTTTTCATGGGGAAAACTTACATCAAATAAACTGGCATTATATATTTTGCTTACACAAATATGACAGAGAAGTTTTCATGGGAGAAACTGACATTAAATAAATTGACATTATACATTTTGCTTATGTCTACATTGAAATCTATTATAACACAATGAGAAAAATCACTTCTATTTTTTTTAAAAAACACACACTCTTTTATGCCCTTCCGAAAGGCATTTTTATTAAATGCAAATAATGACACTTTTCTTTGAAATATTCAATATTTTCCTAGTCTTGACACAGTTGACCATGATAGCAATTAGTTCATGATAACAATTAGCTCACACGTGTAATAGATAAGTTACAAAATAATCTTAAAGCTTTTCATTATTTTATCATTGCTATATTATAATATTCTAGATTCAGAGTTGAGTGAAAATTATCACGTTCTGCCTCTAAATTATTTCAGACTGGATAAAATTTATACATTCTTTCTTAAAGATATTTTGAAAAGGGAATTTTACATTATGTCTTTCATTCTGATTATAAAACTCTCTACTCAATCCCCAACTAACCATCAAAAGATAGTTTATCAAGCAGATATTACAAAGTTGGAGTAACTATACAAACCCTGGAACAACTTCGTTCTAGCCCTGCCCACTGCCAGCAGCAAGGCAAAGATCCACTTGTATCTGGGACTAAGAGGAACAAGAAATGCTTAGCTCTCTTCAGAGTTGGCAGCAAATGCCCCCAACAATACCTACAGAGACCACAGATTTACACTGTTAAGTGGAGGGGCAAACTAGAGCTGCCCATGTCTTCAGGGAAATGGCAAATAGTTTTACGGGAACATTTGGCCAGCCTTCTCTATTTCCATCACCACATGGAAGAAAGAAGTTCAATTGCACTGGCCAGTTCCAGGCCAGAACATAAGACTTAACAACTGTTCCCAAAGAGATCTCCTCCCTCAGGAGTATGAAAGATGAAGCCAATAAAAACAGAAAGAAAACTCTAACTACAGAACTATTATAACTAGAAAGGATCAAACTGAAAAAGACAAGCATTCTGGGCCTTCATATTTCAAGGCAATTGGCACAGTGAATATATGGCTTTTTGTTGGTCTCTCTAAAAAAAACTCTTCTTACCTCTTAATATTCTGTACACTTCTTATAAAATAATTTGGTTAAAATAACAAAAATTTTTTAAAGATCTTTATATGTGGTACTACATTAACCTAGCAGCAAACAACCACCATTTTTTTGCTTGCTTCCTCCTCTAAAATATTGCAGGCCTAATCAAGTGCAATGCTGTCATTAGTTTGATATGTCTCAGCAAGCAATACACACTGCCTTGGCTTACTCCCTCCCAGGATAAATATGCAGTTCATTCTAAGCAATTGTACCCTTTTGTGAACATTCCATCATTCTTGTTAAAAATATGCACACAAAAAAACAAAAAAAAAAGGGGAGGAAGGGATTTCCTAAAAATACTTCTGCACAGTGAACTCTATGAGAAGAGGCCATATTTCTAAGATCTTTCATTTCTTAATTATCTTGAACTTCAGAATATTTTTAAAAACTAGTTTTTTATAAATGTTATCCATGACAGACTTTGGAAGAGTTGTTTGTATCCATTTCTGATTGAATTCTTGCAATCTACATGCACAAAGAAGAAAAAAATCAGCTAACCTGATTTTGTACTTATCTGGCATTAGTTCTTCATTCTGCAGTCAACCACAGGCTAGTCACCAATGAAAGTACCCAGGCCTATGTGTGCATGGTCTGCAATAAACGCAGACAGGCTTAAAGAAGGGAGCAGCAGATTTATAGAAAAGAAGCACTAAGCCTTCAAAATATTATATAATCAGTATATCCTTTCTGCTCCCTTTTAGATGACTACAACAGGAACCTAGACTCACTAAAAATAAAAAGTGTAAGAAATAGTTCATAACTTTAACAGATTCAAAGTAAATTTTGGAGACCAATGAGAATTTGGAAAAATTAATTATTTTATAAAACTAATCAAAAGGCTAACTTTGCCCTTTCACCACCTTGTTTTCTTTGACACATAAACAAACATCTTTATGAATATGCCAGCCATCCACTGCACTTGTTACATTTGAGACATGTTCCTGTCCCAAGAATTTCCACTAAATATAACACCACCTGACACACATGGAGAACATTACTGAGTCGCTCCTCACATCTTCCCTCTCCATTGATGAGAAATTCCAGTTATTCTAACCTTTTCTGCAGAAGTTTGGTGGCTTTATATATACATCTTCCTTGAGGGAAAACTATGCTCTTCACTAAGTTTCGATTATCACTGAAAATTCAACATTATAGATACACCTTAGTATACACTTTACAACATGCTATAATCCAGATTTTTTATTCTGGCTTTCTCAACCTCCAAGTCCTAAATTTGCCAGGAATTCAGAAATGAGCCATTTAATCCCTCATTTACACCTCCTATCTTGTCACTGCCAATTCTGGCCAAATATATAATTTAAACTTAAGTGGTTTCAAATGATTGAGCAAGAATAAAAATCACTCTCCCAAGGTAAAACCATAGAAGTCTACATCTCAGAGGTTCTAAAATATTAACCAAAAATGGGACAATAATTTGCCGAAGCCGATTTGGCTCAGTGGAAGAGCGTCGGCCTGGGGACTGAGGGGTCCCGGGTTCGATTCCGGTCAGGGGCATGTACATTGGTTGCGGGCACATCCCCAGTGGGGGGTGTGAAGGAGGCAACTGGTCGATGTTTCTCTCTCATCGACGTTTCTAACTCTCTATCCCTCTCAATTCCTCTCTGTGTAAAATCAATAAAATATATTAAAAAAAATGGACAATAATTTTAATAGTTAAACATGGAGAACTTTAGGCTTCACAAAAACTAATATTGCTATTCATACTCAGAATAAAAATATATAATCATTTTTGTATATTACCACTGAGATCACCCACTATCATCTGAATAGTTATTTCAATTTCATTCTATAATCAAACAAAACTAACTTCAGTTAAGTAATTCAGAGTCTACTAATTCAATAATGTATACACCTATCTCTGCTCATACTAGTCTCACTCAAAATGGAAGAAAGAAACTACCTCTCTGCAGTGGTCTGTGAGGCTTCCAAAGACCCAGGAATATCACCACTATCAGTCAGCCAAATAACTAGGATTCTTCTTGTTAAAACCATTGGTTTGAGTTAAGCCACTAACCATTGAAATTCCTTCTTTGGGTCAAGCCTTCTGAAAATCTCTCCCAAAATAGTAATGTTAAAAGAGATACTTCAATTATTCATCATTTCACAGTGCCTGAGATATCCAATAAAGTGATATAATTCTTAGGATAGTTGAATAAAGTAGATATCAACTGCCTATGAAATGGATTTTGTATGCCTATGAAAACCTCAAAGGACCACCCCGATACAGGTGCCTTCATTGTACATCCAAATTACTGAAAGTCTTTCTTGCTTCTCTGCATGCAGGTTCTTCGTCCAAACTATCCTGCATTCCAATCAGATTAGTCTTCTAAAACATTTCTCCCCCATTTAAACTACTGCCCTGTAAAAAGCCAATAGTAGGCAGGATCTGCTAAGCAAACTGATGGTGTAAATATAGGACATACTTAGGAACACATGTTTCAGGAATAAAAATCAGACAACAGAAAATGAAAACACAAATTCCTTTAAACCCATTCTATAATCAGTCCTTTCACCAAATCACACATTTATCAGTAAAAGTACAGTAATCTCAAAATGATTAACTACTAATCACACAGGTTCAGGTCATTGAATAAAAATATATTCTAATTCAGGGTGCCAATTTCTGTTAAGTTCATAAAATTGGCAGACAATAAGTACTCACAATTTGCCAAACACTTCATTGCTGACAGTACCCAATGAGGAAGTTCTTCTGCATAAAAATAAAAATATATTTTATTCAATTGCATATAACTCTAGAAATTACATACATAATTGATATCATAAGAATGTAGTACTTGCCTAAGTAGTAAACAACATATCTGCTAATCAAAATCACCTATTTATGTATTAGAACTTTAAAAGATGAAAATTTTTCCTTAGCAGCAATGGTACATTTGCTTGTATAAATCATGCCTGCAAAATTCTCTAAAAACAAAATGAACTTTTTAAAGCTTTAGTGACAAGAAGAAATTTGATCATTTGTTCCAGGGAAACAAACTAACATACAAATCAATTATCCTAATAATTATATCAGACAATGAAAAAAAGAGGAAAAGCAAAAAGATTAGTCATGAAATGCATTTGTGAAACAAGCTCACCAAAAATAAAAATAAATTAAAAAGGTGAATTCTGTATGCGCAAGGTCCAATATAGGTATCACTTTTCATGTTTCAATTTTCAAAATGTTTTAAGCAAACCAAGTTCTACTGACATTAGTATAAGGCTATTCATATTAGAACAGCCTTAAAATAATAATGGTTAACACACTGCTACAAAAATCCTAGGTGAGCCATTCTAGTAGTCTTTTCCTCCTTCCTGGCCCTGTCACAGGCATCTGATGAGATGGGCTGGCATTCACGCTTCCACTTATTCATCCTCTCTACTTTCTTCTCTACTTTCGGTGAAATTGCAAAGACACTGGTTGAATTGTTAGACCTAATGAACCTGAGACTTGTGAGTGCTCTCCTTGCTAAAAAACTTACTTAATAAGACAAAAAAAAATAAAAATGACTGGTCATCCAACTGGTAGCTAAAAGTATGAATGTTTGTTATACTCAGAGAACATGAAAGTATTTTAGATCTACTTCAAAGGCAACACCCCCCTCAATCTATGTAACTTAATTTTACATGTTGGTATTAACCAGACAACTCCTAAATTCACAAATCTACTTCTGTTTCCTGGTGTCCTTCATTCCTGATACAGAGGCTAAAAAGAGGGAGTATTTCAAGTTTCAAAGACACATTCTGTTCTTGTCAGGAAACTTAGCCTTGAGCAACCTCTTCCCTCTCACCACTGCTCAGGCTCCTTCTGGTACAGCTCTGTCTGCTGCCAGGAGCTCCAGCCTAAACTCGAATAAAACCCAAAAGTACTGTACCACCTTCCCACAGCCAAAGGTCATTCTAATCCCAGCTAAATCCCAGGATTAAGTGTTTGAAATAAAGGAAAACCTAGTCAAAGAGCCTATTCAATTCTAACCCATCCCTTATCCAGGGGAAGATCAGTTTGGAGATTCTGTGTACTGTGTACTGTGTACTGTGAAAGTATTTTTCAAAAATCAGGGCCCTACCCAGTTTGCCTCAGTGGATAGAGCATCAGCCTGTGAACTAAAAGGACCCAGGTTCAATTCTGGTCAAGGGCACATGCCCAGGTTGCAGGCTCTATCCCCAGTAGGAGGCAGCTGATCAATAATTCTCTCTCATTATTGATATTACTCTGTATCCCTCTTCCTTCCTCTCTGAAATCAATAAAAATATATTTTAAACAAAACAAAACCGTATAGATAGCTGCTAAATGTTTTTTTTTTTTCCTGATTGGTAAACTGACTTTAAAAAAAAAGTATACAAAATTGAAACACCTTCAATCTCTAAAAAGCTACCTTTATAAAAAGAAAAAAAGGACATAAACCAAAAGTAACCCAGAAATACTGACACGGAAATATAACAAAAAGTTCAATGAGAACCTAAAATCAGTCAGACCCCAGAATCCACCTGAAAACTGACTCAAGTTCTAAGGTAGGTCTTAAACCTACTCACTTTTTAGGGATTTCCTGAGGATAATGCCCATTGAGGCTAACTGAACTGGCCTCTGGATGGATTTTGCTGACGTTTTCACTCTTGAGTATTCATCTATGACTTTCTTTAATCCAAACAATTAGTTAAAAGGTATCAGGATGCGAGATGAGAACGTATAAATTTAGTTAGGACTTAGAGAAGCATCAAACAGAAGGTGATAGATAAGCAGCAAACATATGGATCAACCAGAAACAAAATGGTTTCTATGCACTTACTTGATTTGTCATCAAGGATAACAACTCCCTGCTGGCTCACACTATATACATTATGTATGATGAACTTGGATTTGACAAGTTTAATGTCTAAAACTTCTTCCAAGGAATCTAGGCCAAGGATTTTCTGTAAACTAAAAAGAAAGATGATATTTACATTATTTAGTTAATTTTTTAAAAGTCATTATTTACCCCAAATCCCAGCACTATAAAATATCAATTTTAAACTGTGTTGTTTTCTTGCATTTCACTCAATTCTTGTGGGGCAAAAGGCTAGAAAATGATTATGATAGAATACACTGAAAAATATCCTTTTGCCATTAACATATTGCTTTAGTAATTTAATGACCTTAAATGCCAAGAAAATTTCATAAGATGTTATAAAAACAAGAATTAGTTTATCCAATGATGAGAAACAACTACGAATACATCTCTGTCAGAGAAAAAAAAAAAAAAACCTGCTATTAATTATTTAGTACATAAAATATTTAAAAGACCAAATTTCTCACTGTATTTCATTAAGAGTTCAATATTATTAGAAAATTAAAGAACTTTCAAATGTCTACTCTTAACTATTATATCAATTACATAAAACAGAATCCAGTTAAATTATGTTTAATAAGTAGAACAGCTGCAAATAATGCAAAATTGAGATTTTCAAACGTAATTTCAGAAAATTAAATATCAGCAATTAATGAAGAAGCAAGTTAGAAAAAAAACACACTAAGAAGTCTCATTAATATCAAATGCACATACTGTGATAATGTCATAGACTTCCATATCTCTTCTACATTGGCCTCTGTCAGCTGTCTGCGGTAGACAAGGCGGCAAGCAGGCACCTCTCCAATAGCAATACTGTGACGCTTGTACCACATCTCAGAATTCTGATGGCAGAGAGGGGAGTAGAAAGAGAATATTTCAATTGACAGTGGTATTGTCTTATAAGAAATTCTTTAATTTTGTTAATTGTAATTTGATTTAAAATAAAAAGAAATAAACTAACTTCCTTTGCATGCAGTACAGAGAAATAAAGTATGGCTATTAAAAATCAGATCATATTATAAATTAAGATTCATGAATTATAGAAGAGCTATGATGATAAGCATGAAATTTCCTGTGGGAGCTCCCAATAATCAAGAGAAGTAGCAATAAAATAAAATTTTATTATTTCAAAATTAAATAGAATACCTATTTATACACTGTCCAAATTGAATGATTATTTAAAATAAAATTATATTATATTCAAGAGTTTTCTCATTTTTGTAAGCTAAGATCGAACAAGTACAATGTTGACTAGCAGCCCCCAGACTGTAGGCATATGCAAAAGGCAGGTAAAATAAACCTTCACAGAGAATAGCTTGAGATGGTAAGGAGAAAAACTACACAAAAAAATGTTAATATTAATTCTCTTTGGATGATATTATGGGTATTTTTTCTTTTGTCTCTGCCTATAAACAATTCTTTTAAATACATTACTAAGTACCTGTGTGAACTCACTTGATTCTTGAAACAACCCTACCTCAGAGGGGTATTATCATCCCAGTTTCATCCAAAAGAACACTGAGACAGAAACACAATGAATGAAACAGACACAAGCTCAAATAGGTAGTAAATGGAGGAGCCAAGATTCAAGAGCCCACACTTACTTTCCACATTATATTGCCACCCTCAGCAAACACAAGAAATAAATTTATGTATTTCATTTTATTTGATATAATGGCTAGGAAAGAGAGAAGATAGGACAAAACAAAAACCAACAAGCAAAGGGGGGCAAAAACAGAAAGAGGGAAAGTAAGAAATAAAAAATGAATAATAAGCTCAAGTTCTTCAAGATGATAAACTGTTTTTCTATTGATTGCCGCCATCATCCTAACACCTTTATCAAGGGAAATAGATCCTGCTCTGCCATTCCTTATTTGGACAATTCTCAAGAAGCAGCAGTCGAGGCATTAGTGGAATTCTAACAAGTAGGGAGCTTTCAAACTTCTACAATTCCATTTAAGGGGAAAGTATGAGAAAAGGCAAGACAATAGTTATCAAAACAAATGTAAATTCAGATGACCAGGAAAAGTTACACTGGGGACAGAGAGATTGATGAATCAAGACACTTGTATACCACTTCAGGGATCCTGAAAGATTTGAAACTGAAAAGAAAATAGAAGTCACTGTCCTGGTGTATTAAAGTATGCTAACAAGCAGTTGGTTTTCCTAGAGGTAATACCAGGAATATTATGACTTTGAGGAACCAAAAAGAACAGAAAAAAAGAAGTTATTATTGATGGCATAAACACACATTAATTTAATATGGGATTCTATCTCTTTTGTTGAATAACAATTCTATGGATGGGGTCTTATTAGATGTTTAAATGTGAATATGCAAAAATAATATACCTTATCTCACAGGACTTATATTTTAATTTTCTTTAGGATAGGAACTAGCAAGCAGACATTAATTAAGTGTCCCTTATTAGGAATTAAATAGTCCTCAAATATCCTTTATGCTCACTCTTTCAGAATAGTTCTACTATGTTTTCTATTAATCTATGTTTGTATTGTTAGGCTTCACTAGACTTTGAATCCTTTTAGAATAAAACTGTATCACATATCACTGTATCTGTAGAGCCTAGTACAATGCAAGACACACAGTAGACACTCAATAAACCTTTGTTGAGTGAATAAGTTAATGACTTCCAAATATGACTGCTCCCCTAAGTTCAAGCACCATTATCTCCATCTGCCTATTAGACACTTCATTTAATACAACCCAACTTTATCATCAAACATATTTAAAAGCAAATTCATCACTATCCCAGACATAGCACTATAGAGTCCCCATTTTTGTCACCAGTGTTACTTTTTCTTGAATTATCTTTGATACAGCCTAAGCTGCTTAACTATACTCTCCAAACTGAGATAATACAAATTCTTCAGATATTTTTTCTTTTCATTACACTGTTGAAAAGTGTTTACATCAAATCTGCAAACAAAGGCATGAATTGGACATCAAGTCATTTAAGACTACATTAATTAAACACATGGTGTTACTATAATTCTTAAAAACTGCCATACAAAATTTGTCTCTGCATTTTATTTTTTAAGCATTATTTCAATCTTGGTAATCTTTAATGGGGATATTTTAAAGAAAAAGTATTAATAGGTCCCAAAAAAAGTTCATTGCATAATTAGCATAGGTTTTCTAAGATCAGCAGATTCTATCTTTGTTCTTATTTTGTGTAGGGCTCATTTCACAATACTCCATGCCCCAACTTTCTCACTCTCAACTGGTGATAAAATACAGGAGGAGGAAACAAAGATGGAAAAAAACAAATTATAGAACTGAAAGGAAAAGAATAAAAGAGTTTTAACAAAAAACTTTTTGGTCTGAACATATGAAAACAGCTACCATATCTTCAGTCAAAATCTCAATGGGCAAGAGTAATAAAATGCAAAACTCAGTCTATTGACACGTAAGGTATTGTTTTAAAGTACATTCAGACATAGTTCATAAGGAACTGACAGAGAAAACTGGACTCAGCCTGATGGTTCACAGACTACTACTTATTCTTCCTGCTGCTAGCCATCAATCAGTCTGTTAGTAATGGCACTTACCATCACAAGTGGCCTAACTGGAATGTTTTCTTGTGACACACCTGGTGGGGTATCATTCCATTCTGGAAATTTAATAGTATCCTTTTGATATGGGGGCCTCTTTGGATATGGTTTCAATGGTGAGGAGGGAGGAAATCTAAAAGCCAAGAAGAAAACCATTATTATTATAGTCAATGGAAGACAACGCAGATATTTTAACAATAGTCACTCCTTGTATCCTTGAGAATTTATATAACAGCAAACTTCATATACTAAATGAGTTCATACTTAATCAAATCATTATACGTGGCTAACTATAACCAACAATATTTTTAAAAAATATTCACTCAGGCCAGCTGTCATGGCTCAGTGGTTGAGCACCAACCAATGATCCAGGAAGTCACAATTTGATGCTTGTTCAGGGCATATGCCCAGGTTGTGGGCAAGGTCCCTAATGTGGGGCGTTCAGGAGCCAGCTGATCAATGATTTTCATAATTGATGTTTCTATCTCTCCCTTCCTCTCTGAAATCAGTAAAAATATATTTTTAAAAATATATTCATTCAACCCTGGCCAGTGGGGCTCAGTTGGTTAAGCATCATCCCGCACACCAAAAGGTCACAGGGTCAGTTCCCAGTCAGGGCAAATCCTCAAGTTGCTTGCTCGATCCACGGTCAGGGTATGTGTGGGAGGCAGCCAATTGATGTTTCTCACATTGATGTTTCCTCTCCAAAATAAATAAAAACTAATTTAAAAAAATATCCACTCATCATGCCCATCAAACAACATTTGTGAAGAAAAACAGGAATCAAGCATATGATATATTTTTTAATAAACAAAATTTATTCTCTTATTATTTGACTTTCATGATTCAATATGTTCTTAATGGGATGCCCAAGTGAGCCATTCCTTTCACTTAACTCAAAATCCTTACTGCTTCATAACTCCAGCTGAAATTTGTAGATGATAAGCATACAAATAGAAATTGATAGATAAATCCTCGGTAATACTTGCTAAGGAAGCATAATACTTGTTAAGGAAGCATATATTATAACAAAAATCATTTGATCTAATACTTTATATTATAACTATTCTAATAAAGATTAATCCTCCTTCCCTCAAATTCCAATACTTCACACTGAGATTGAAGCTTTGGTCTAGAAATTCATCTCCAAGGAGGTAAATGCTGTCCAATGTCATTATTCTGACATTCAATAACCCACTATTCCTATCCCTCCTAGGTTTCAACAGCATTATTCCTGAACTAACTCATAGAAGCCTAAATACAATCTAACTATCAACTAGTCTAGACCATAACTGATAAAGAACAACAGAAATGTAATTAATACATAATTTACTTAAAGGCTCTTTTTCTATTAGCTTGTTAGAAAACAACACACTGTATTGCACTGTATTGCATTGCACTGCATTGATGAACTAATGCAAGAACTTTAGTTCTTAATGTTGGCATATAAGTCAGTAGGCAATTAACTTTTGTTTTAATCCTCACCTGAGGACATGATTAGAGAGAGGAAGTGGGGGGGAACAAACACATATATTGATATGAGAAATATTGATTGGCTGCCTTCTGTTCAGGGACCAAACCCACAACCCAGATATGTGCCCTGACCAGGAATTAAACCAGCAACCTTTGGTGTACAGGACAACATTCAATCAACTGAGCCACTCCGGTCATGTGGTAATTAACTTTTTATTTTGACTTTTTACTTATTTAAGCCAAAATAAAGGCTTAAAATTTTGTCCATGATACCCATTGGAAAAATCAATCAAATAAATTATAAAGATCTTATTCCTAAGACAAATGCAGAAATGAATAATTTTAAATGTCTATTGTTTACAAGGAAACTTTTATCGAGATGAATCAGAAGAATCACAAATAAAGAGTACTATGGAGAAATATTTCAAAAGCAGTCAGACATAATAGACTTGGAAAAAGATGACTGACCAACAGAAGTTAAGTTTCATCTTCTCTGAAAAGAACATCCAATAACTATATTTTATTTGAAAGGTCAGTTTTGAGTCAGTAAGAATGAGGTACATGCCCTTGACCAGAATGAGGTTTGCAAATCAGTAAATCAAGTTAAAAATAAACTGAAAGATAGCTTAAATTTTTTATATTAAGTTACCAAAGCAGGTATCTTCAAATGATTCCCAAATACTAATTAAATGGAACTCTAAAACCAGTAAAATTTACCCTAGTTCATAAGTAGAGCATGGCTTATAGAAATCCAGTCCTGTTTTGTTTTTTTTAGATGCCTACAATCACAACAAAAATCCTATTTCCAGCCAAAGTATAACATGTATCCATACATACACACTCACTCACATACACACTCACAGTCACATACTATACTGCATATAATTCCAGCAACGATGTAAGGACAGCAACTACCCTAAGAGCATCTTGCCACAAAAAGCAAAACCCATATAGAGATGCCCTGAGGATGAAACCTCGTATAGAAAGGAGAGGCCAAAAAGCACAGAGGCACCATGTTTGTAAGCAGAGAAAGAAGCCATTTCTGAAGTGAATTTTCTAGCTCAACCTATGGCTTATGGGTAAAAAGCAAACTGCCAAACCTATTTTAAATTTTTGACAAAAAAAAAAAAGGAGCAAAATAAAACACTTTAAGCCCTCATTAGTTTGGCTTAGTTGATAGAGCATCAGCCTGAGGACTAAAGGGTCCCGGGTTCGATTCTGGTCAAGAGCATGTACCTTGGTTGCAGGCACATCCCCAGGGGGTATGTAGGAGGCAGTTGATGTATGTTTCTCTCTCATCGATGTTTCTAACTCTCTATTCCTCTTCCTTTCTCTCTGTAAACAAAATAAAGTATATTTTTAAAAAATAAAGTATATTTTTAAAAATAAAAAAATAAAACTCTTTAAGCCATCAAAATAACATCACAGAGAGACAACATTTCACTTACCAGACTGGCAAAAATGTAAGTCAGTCAATATCAAATATTTTCTACTGGAATAAAAATTAGCATACTCAGTATGAAAAAGTTTGGAATTACCTAGTAAAGTTGAACATGCATATTGGCATACCCCCCTAATATAATTCTACTCCAAGGTAATTCTGGGTACCCTAAAGAAACATGTGCAAAGGGAAACAGGTTCATAAATGTTCGTGGGAGCATTGTTTATAAAGCAAAACAACTGAAAGCAACCCAAGTCACCACTAACAGAAAAACAGATATATTGATATAACAAAATAGAATATAAATGAGAAAACCCAGGAACTATAATTAAATATATCAACATGGATGAATTTCAAAAATTATGAGAAATATAAGAACAAATCTGAGAAGCACACACATTCTTTAATATATTTTATATAAAGTTCAAAACAAAAATATTTCAGAAACAAATCAATATACTGTTTAAGGATTTAAGTGTTAAAACACTAAAGAAGCGAGGGCAGGGATAAAAGGGAGAGATCAACCAAAGGACTTGTGTGCATACATATGAGCCTAACCAGTGGTTAAGGACAAGAGGGGGTTGTGGGCATGAATGGGGTGGGGGATGGGAATGGGGTGATAAGGACAAATATGTGATACCTTAATCAATAAAGAAATTTTCTAAAAAGCCAAAAAAAAAAAAAAAAGCGAGGGCATGATTAAGACAGAAATCAGGATATTGATGACCTCTTACATATACAAGACACGGGGTGGGGAGTGGAGGGGGAGAGGTGAAGGCATATGCAGAGGTGGGAGGGTGGGGGGATGGAGGGGGAAGGCTAGGGGGAGGTCAAGGGGGAAAAAGGAGACATATGTGCTACTATTTGTAATCCTTCAAACAATAAAAAATATTTTTTAAAAAGGTATTGATGACCTCTAAGGAAAATATGCAAATTGTGGGTAAACAGATGTTCATTTTATCATTATCATATAAATTGTTCAGCTACGAGTTATACATTCTTGCATAAAAGATCTATTTTTCAATAAAATTGAGAACATTAAAAAAGAACAGTGCTCCCTCTAGTGGGCTACATTTGTTTCTGCTTTATAAATTATAAATTTAATTCTAACATGATCATGGATTCCAGAATTTCAAGTTCCTTAGAAATGATCTAGTACAGACTCCACATTTGTACACTGAGGCTAGAAAAGGTACTGACTGCAGTTATCATCCAACAAAAAAACTCAGGTTTCCTACTGCCACCTCCATTGACTGCAAAAAATAACTTTATAATAAAAGCCTAATATGCAAATTGTTAGACCAGGAATTCAACTGCTTTCTATGACGTGTGCTGACCACCAGGGGGCAGCATGAAACATGGTGAGCATTGGCAACTAGGCTCTGGCAGAGGGTGGCAGTGGAGACACTGCCAACTCCAATGGGCCCCCACAAGAGCAGGACTGCTGCGGAATGGTGGAGCATGTGAACAGGCAGCACCAAGCCAAGGCAGGTGTGTGTGTGGGGGGGGGGGGGGGGGGAATCGGGGGGGGATTGCCCTGCCAATAGCCCCGCAGCCAGGATGGTGGAATAGGTGAGGGGGTGGCGCCAGGCAACAGTGGGGTACCAGGCGGGGCTGCTGGGCTGCTAGCCTAGGGGAATGAGCTGGGGCCTGATCCCTACAGGCCACCCAAAGGGACCCCACCTCCCACCTGTGCAAGGAGGAGGAGGAGGAAGAGGAGAAGGAGGAGGAGAGGTGAGAAATAATTAGTTGTCAAACTAAGAAAACCTTTGAGTTCCCAGCTCAGAAATTATTCTTTATTCCTTACTCCAAGCGAATAAAGATTCCATTACAAATAAAGGATCAAATGAGTATTTTTAAGGAGGGGAGAAATATGACTTACAGGGAAATAGCATTTACAATAGCACCAAAAACTATGAACTACTTAAATCTTAATCTAACAAAACTTGTGTAGAGTCTGTGTACTTAAAAAAACACTGCTGAGAAATTTAAAACCTAAAAAAACTGAGAGAAATACCATGTTCATGATTTAAAAGACTCAATTTTGTTAATTTGTCAGATCTCTGCATACTGATTTACATGTTTCACACAATTTCACTCAAATCTCAACAGAGACTTTTGTAGAAATAAGCAAGTTGATTCTAAATTTATATAAAAAGGCAAAATTACTAGAATAGCCAAAACAATTTTGAAAAAGAACAAAGTTGGAAGACACACTA